TAAATAACACGGACTATCTTAAAATTTACGAGTAAGAGGGCCTAGACGAACTAGAGCAAATGCCCATGAGTGACGAGTTTTCAGAGATCATTTTCGCAGTTAACTGTTTTGCTTTTTCGCGCAAAACAGTAAAGACTGAAATACAATGTCATACAGAAGGGGCTCTGTCTGTGGCCAAATTCAATCAACGCAATTTTGGATGAAAACGACTGACATTAACACCGGGTTAAAATAACTCTTCAATTCTGAAAATGATACTAGAACTAATGAAAGCCACGGATATAGGTATGAAAAGTACCAAATTGTATTCATATCTGAAGGGGTTCACGGGAAGGATTGATTTATCGTCTCTACCTTTGCACCCACCGCTTTGATCAATGAGCACCAGGTTGTTAAATATACCAAAATCCGAACTCATATGTGCTCTATAATCGCGTCAACCGCGACTTCTCTCCAACCCTTGTCTACAGCTCGTGGGTTACGATTCAAGCACGGTTTGGGGGAAATGGTACGGCGAACATACCGTGACCTAAATCAGCGAGCAATTGCGTCTCAAGACTCCAAGGGCTCTTGATTTACTTTCGCTATCGCTGATATGCAACTTTACCTCGGAATAGTCATGGCCGCTGATCCCACAAATTCTGATCGTACCATTCTAAAAACAACAAATCACACCGGGTTTCAATTCCATTGTTTGCTGATATTTGTCCTATTTTCGGTTGTCACCATTTCGATATTACTGGACAGAGTTGAATAACAGCAGCAGCAGGGTTGGAACCCCAGGCCCAAAGCATGCTAGTGGCAGCGACTCAAAACAGTTGACCTTCATCTATTATTCAACTCTCAGTAACATGCATATGGGACCGGATTCAAAACTGGGTTATACTGCTATTCAACAAAAATGAAACAGATTGGGTTTCTCTGTTCCATCGAACTTGGTGAAACAATACCACGCATTATTGCGGGCATAAAGCGGAAGCCTTCCGACAAGGCGAACACTCCTTGTGGTTTACGTCTGCATTCACAATATTCAAACATACGTGAAAAAGGGATTCCCTATCGTACCGTTCGGAATGTCTAATCCCTTTGGATAGAGCCCAGTCGCTTCCGTGTGTGGATGTGAGGCAAGGAGAGACGGGACTCAGAACAAAACAAAATTTACCAGTAGTATGTGCTATGAAATGCTCGCTTCATTAAACCGAACATCGGGCCCACAATTCCGTGTTGGTGCGCATACAACCACTCACCTCTGACCGGATTGTGGCATCCGAACTGGAACTGGTCCTGACGGCGGACCGCGTGTGAATCGTGGTCGATGCGGCCACATCTGCGGTTCGGTAAATCGGAATCATGACAAACATGCCTCCACTGCAGTGCACATAGGTCCACCGTTTTTGTGGCACAGGCTTTTCGAGAATCGCGCTCAGCTTGACAACCGGAGGGACCTGACATGCATCATAAGCAGTTGGGAGAAAGCCGAAGCTGAAAATGAAGGAAACATATGAGGCTATGAGAAAAAAACGCTATCAAATCGGACTGAAACATGCTAGACAGGTCCAATGCAAAGACCTACTACATGTGGATGAGAAAAGTGTTTTAAAACAATTTTGTTTGCCCTGCTTGCCACTGGGGGGGGGGGGGGGGGGGGNGGGGGGGAGGAGGGTGAGGATCGGGGATACGCACTGGCCGGGACAGGACACCTTTAAACAACACTGGGCTGGAGCATTAAACAACTCAAGATACTGTCCCCACCGGGATGTCTATTCTGTATGCCAAGGTGAATGAGTCACTTCTAATCCTCCGTACACAGTGTCATCATGTCCGGTGCAGGGAAAACGGAACCAGTTGGATCTTCCGAGTGTAAACCATAACAAACTAGATTAAAGTGTTCAGTGTGGCCACCCAAACAACACATCAAAAAGATTACTAGCCAGCGAGAATGTCTTCTGAGCAATGCGCACCGACTGCTGTTAGCAAGTGAACTAGCAAGCACACATTCGGACTGTTGTTTGCAAACGAACGACGATGATTCCCACAACCTCGATAATTACTACACTGAAAAACAAAATCAAAGAAAGTCGTAAACTAAGGGGCCAAACAGGATACTGTGTGTACACATCGAAATACACTTCAGATGATTCATCGTGTCAAACAAGCACACGGATTAGAAATTTCCGGTAGATTCGGCCAACAATTATCTATGCAGTGGAGTGTAGTAGAACCCGAGCAGTTGATTGGACGAGATTGTTCACCAAGAGAATGGATTGAATGATGGTTGAAACAGTCTAGCCAGCGGGCGGAGCGACGCGTGAATCAAGAAAAATTCAATTGGTAGATGGATTTTTGTGATGTACAAGACGTGAACTTTTAGGGGCTTGTCTCACAAAAGGGAGACTGGCAAAACACCTATGATCGATATTGTAATAAAAATGCAGATCACGTACAAATGAAACAGATCCAAAGGGCCACAGAAACTGACGAAATAATAATGGTTTACGGAACAAATGTTTTTTCTCGATCTGTTATTGATTTCCGGGACCAGTTTTCTCTTTGCACGATCAATCCGAAGCTGAATTTTCGAATGCAATCCAATTATAATTGCAAATAGGATGAATCAAATTATGAACAGGACTACTGGTTTTTAAATCAGATGAGACTTTTTGTGGAATTCCTGCATAACATGTAGCTGCTCGTTTTGGACAACCAAATCAACTAAATACACTGTTTTTACCCATCAGACAATCGATATTGATCCAGACAACAATGACGAGGAAATACGAAGAAATGCGAATCGTTCATTTGGCTAATTGATGCTAGATCATCCACACCGTGCAGTTCTCTAAGCGTAGAATTCAGCACTATTTTATCCTCGTCCCGCTGCTTTACATGTGTTTATTTGCCTAAACAGTCATCCCAGTGCATCAGATTGTTGGGAGGAAAATGACCACACGCGAGTAAGCTTTAGTAAGTATCTTTAATTCACTCGATTCATCGTTTTGAGTCTGATACGTTTGGTTTGCAATACATACGTGTGTCTGGCAAGCAAACGTGTACTTCGATAATGGTAAATTGTGTGAATGAATGTGAATTGTTTTTTTAACAATATCCAGAATGTTTTCACTTATCTATTCAAATTCGTTACGGGGAAACTGCACTTCCAATCCAGAATGTTGTCGCATAGATGGGAACACGAGCAAGCATAACGATGCGGTTGTTTTTCGGGATAAATCTGCGTGAACTATGTAGTAAGTCCGTGTACAACGAGATAGTAGATATTTCAGGCACCAGTCTACTCACGACCTCCGGTCAACACATGCCAACAGACAAAAAGTGGCAGATGTGACAATCAGTTAAGTAATGATAAAATCACTTTCTATGCATGGGAGAGAAGTTTCTGGAATCTAATTGGATACAACTGATCAGTTTCTGTTGTGATCAGCCGTTTCATGGACACCTCAAATCGGAGAACACTGAAACAAATGAACCCCGTGATGACCGAGTCTTGTTATTCAGTTATGAAGACCGGGAAACCCAGTCCTTGGACTTGAGCTGGGGACAGAAGATACGCTACGCCAGGAATAACTCCACTGCGCCTACGGTACTAACTAAAGGTATTCATTGAACTCGCACGACACTGGGACATTCATCAGATCTCGTGCTTGCGATGCTTAGCGTTTTGAGGCTCATTCACGTTAATGAATATGATATTAACTCAAACAAGACATTGCATACTTGCAACCGTATCCATTTGTGTTGTTCTTCCTATTAGTTGAATGCATTATAAAAGTAGCACTTCTCGATTTCGACGACCTTTTTAAGATAACGAAATCTCAGTAGAAAAAATCCTAAGACTCTATTTATAAAAATGGCTCGTGTACTGTAATGTACTTGTCGATACTCTGTGTTCTTTCCTTTATTTCGAACATTGGAGCCAGACGTTTGGGCATGGAATCCTTCAAGTTGACAATCAAATCGCATTAGTCACGTGTGTCAGCGTTTTGAGTGTGGAAAGATCAGTGCTGTCGGTGTGGCCTCGTAGCCCAGCTCGTCGCGCGTGCGCTGTACAAAAGCGTAGGCGGTGTCCACGTGTGTGTGTGTGTGTGT